TTCCTGACATCAGACATCACTAACTATGGTCTGATTCTGTTTTGGCTTGAAGCTTTTTGACTCTTTTTGGAGAAAACATTTTTCTTTCACCAAGTGGTTTTTCGGATAGCCACGGCCGCTGTATCTGATGTTCTTGGGCAAACAGTGGCTCTATGCAACAGTTACCGATCGTCCTCCTGTATGTCTGTTTCATGTGTTTTTGCAATGGCTCGTTGCACAACATTTGTCCTCCAATATAGTTTTCTATAAGCTTGTGATGTGGTCCTTGCTAATGTTTGATTACTCATTTGAGCCTCAAACCAAAATTTCCATCTTTCTCTACTTCACGCTGCTACTCAAGCAACTTAACCTGGCTTCTGATACACTTGTTTTCGTATATAAGTATGGTTCTTCCTACAATATATTCTCTGACTGCCATATATATGTTGTTAACCTTGTGATCAAGAATTAGGATTGCTAAATCTATTTGAGGTTACTATGTACTGCGAGATTGTTGTTCTGTCAGTTGTTGCAGTACTATAAATCATGCTTCATTGCTGTAATCGAGAATTAGGAGTGCTTTGTTATGTATCTTTCTATTCAATTTGTATGAGGTCAGATTTTTCCATTCAAGTCACTGCTTTTTAACTCAAAAAGGATGGTGTGAAGGTGACTGTTTTGTACAAAGGGAATGTTCTAAGCGAGCTTGCAAGATTCGAGGAATGAGAACTCAAAATAAGCTCTTATGATTAATCAGCTGATTTGGCAGCACAAATGAGGTTATAATACAAAATCAGTTTCGCAAAAGTTACAAGTTTGTTCCAAAATCGGTCATCCGAGACTCAATCTAGTACTCATCTTGATCTATAACGAATCCTTTCACCTTTGCCTTTTCTTGTTGGGTATGTTTGGAGTTTGATTTATGATTAGAGAAAACTTGTATAAATCATTCTTGATTGGATGAATATAATTGATGTTGGCGTGATGGATTAAGTAATTTGCACTGTGGAACACAATCTGTGACATCAACATCTGTCATGCAGCTTATAATGAATGAATCATGACCTCACAGTAGATGTGTATATATATATATATACCCCCTTTGCTAATTTAATTTCTTACCCAATTTACTTCTGACCATAGAGAAACTCCCAAAACAAGGCTTCAATGAGGTGTTTTTGAGGTGGCAGAGTCATCATAGACCAGAAGAAATGGAAATGTACTAAAAAAACCAAATCAAAACTAGTGTATTAAAGGAGAAGACAACTCTATGAGCCATCATAGAGAGAGAGAGAGAGACACACACACAGAGAAATTGATGGTCAAAAGGCAACAACTAGAATTTCGGAATAGAGGTTGATCTTTGAGAGGGTTTCGCAGATTTCGGACGTGAATTCTCTCTCTCCTCCTCCTATTTGTAATCGCCTGACCACATTGTATCCTCAGGTCTCCTGAAGAGGAACTCAGAGAGAAAAGTCCATGTAAGTGTTCTTTCTTTACCTTCGGTCACTTTTCTCAAGCTATACCTCTACTATAGAATTCTCCATGTTCTTGGAGATGGATGCATCTCCATGTTCTTTCTTTTTTCTTTTTTCCTTTTGATTTCTTTGATTGAGGAAGTATCATTTCAGGTAGCTCTTTGAATCAGCCATGCATGGGGTTGCATTTCTCTTTGTATTATGTGCTAGTTTACACTCTTCTTAATTTGCTACAAATTTCATTGTTATGCTTAGCTATCTTCTCACTTTTAGAAGCTTTGAGGAATTTAACTCTTTGCATTGAATGATGAAGATGTTTTTTTTCTTTTAATGTTGATTTTAAGTTCAATTTATGTATTGGTTTAGTATCCTATGGATTAATCATTGACAAGTAAGTACTCTTATATAAACAATAATCACAAAAAGGAATGTGTATTCTAATCACCAAATACAATAAATCTAATCTACCGACCATTGTTAAGCAACTTTTTTTTTTCGTAAAATTAGTCTATAATATTTTATACGCAAAATTATGTATTTGAATTTCTCATCATATTATCTTCTAATCCTATCTATTTGTTTCTCAATTTTTATTTTCATACAGAGAAAGTGATCAAGAGATTTCACAAAGGACACAAAATCATTCTTATATCCACAAATTTCCTAGTGAATTATAGTGATTGTATCTCTATAAATATGATCAAATCAGAGACCCAATCCCTTGTGTTAATCGATTATATCCACAATCCACAAGCGGAGGTTAATAATGGCTCAGCATCTAAATTGCCTGAGAGCTTAAAGAAAGATGATGTGAACCGAGCATATGTTGACACTGCTGCTCCTTTTGAATCTGTAAAGGAGGCCATAAGTAAATTTGGAGGACTTATTGATTGGGAAGCTCAAACTCTAGAGGTGATTCAGATTATATTTGCTATTAGTCTCTAATGAATAGGAGGTAAAGATGCTTAGATTAAGTTCTCTAATTACTTGCTATTTTTCCCTCGTAATTAATAGGAGGTGCTTAAACTAAGTTCTCCTCGCTCATCATCAAGAACATCAAAACTGTTGGAGAGTTTGAAGAAGGTCAATATCAACCAAGCATATATTGACACTGCTGCACCTTTTGAATCTGTTAAGGATGCTATAAGTAAGTTTGGAGGGACTGTTGATTGGGAAGCTCAAACTGCTGTGACTATAGAGGTAATCGTGCTGTCAAATTATATTCTAATTCTTTTTATTCTTTGGTGTAAGTTCTTAGTTGAGTTTGCCCGATTGTTTTTGTTCATTTACTTTTCACTGTGATTTGATAGTTTTTATTCGTTTGTTCTCACAGAGGCACAAACATGTCCATCTTGAACTTGAGAAAGCACAAGAAGAGATCATGAAGTGTAAAGAACAATATGAAGCTGTAGAATCTATTAAGGAAGATGTGACCAAGGAGCTGTCTTCTACGAAGAGACTTGTGGAAGAGCTAAAACAGAGCCTGGAGAAAGCACAACCTCGAGAGGCACAAGTAAAACAAGATTCCGAACTTATCGACGTAAGGTTGAAAGAAATAGAGCAAAGAATTGCTAAGTTTGCAAGTGTTGCGACCAATACTGATGGCGTCGAGATCGACAGAGAAAGAATCGCTGACTTTACAGCAGTAGTTGCAGAGTTGAGATTAGTGAAGCAAGAGCTGGAATCAATGGAAAGTGAGCGCGTTGTGTTAGTTGATGAAAGGAATACTGCGTTAAGGAAAGCTACAGATTTTGATGTTGCATCGAAGGAGATCGAGAAAACCATTGAGGACCTAAACCTGGAGCTCGTCGCGACCAAGGAGTCGATTGAACTTGCCCATTCTGCACATCTCGAAGCAGAAGAACAAAGAGCAAGTGCAGCCGTGGCCTTGGAGCAGGATAAATTGATCTGGCAAAAGGAACTGAAGCACGCCGAAGATGAAGTAGAACAGCTCAAAGAGCAGCTCCTGTCGACAGATGATGTAAAGTCGATGCTAAACAGAGCATCTTCGTTGTTGTCCCGTCTAAAAGATGAGCTAGCTTTGTACATGAAAGCAAAACCAAATCGAGAGGCAAAGAGCACTCAGGAACATAAGCTGGTAGATCACACAGGAGACGTAAAAGAGAGTAATCCATTGGCTTTGAATCCAAAGGAACTTGATGAAGCAAGGAGCAGAATTGAGAAAGCTAACAATGAAATCAACTGTCTAAGAGTTGCATCTTCTTCACTCAAATCTGAACTGGAAATGGAGCGAGCATCCGTGTCGACTCTGAGGCAGAGGAATGTCTTGGCATCTGTGTTAGTCTCATCTCTTGAAGATGAACTCAACAGGACAAAAACCGAACTAGGGAAGGCATTAGAACGAGCAGCCGAGGAAGCAGATCGGGCTAAGGAAAGAGAAGAACAGGCCAAGGATGAAGCCTGTACGATGGAGAACGTAGCTAACTCCACACTCAAAGACTCATCAAACCTCGTAACTCTTTCGATCGAAGAGTACTTCAAGCTCAGAGAGACAGCTAAAGAGGCCGAGGAGATCGCTAACAGTAGAGTGATCTCCGCCATTGCGCAAGTTAATGCAGCAAAGGATCTGGAACTAAGGAGCTTACAGGAACTGGAGGAAGTGAAGGACATGATCCAAGAAAGGAAGACCGCGCTCAGAACCGCAGAGGAGAAGGCTGAGAGGGCGACGGAGGGAAAGCTAGGAATGGAGCAGGAGCTACGGACATGGAGAGCTAAGCAAGAAGAGCAAAGGAAGGCAAGAGGTGCTGCAACGAGGTTGCCTGAACTTTCGAATCTCGACACTGCTGTAGAAGCGAGGAGTTGTGTGGGGAAAGCAGACGCTGGTATCGATGAGAGTCCATTAATGGCGAATCCCAAGCTGCAGATGACACGATCGAACACGACCAATTCCATCGGTGCCTCCAAACGAGGGAAGCGATCGCTGTTCCGGCGGATAGCAATGCTCTTCACCGGGAAGAAGACTCAGCCAATGGGGTGACAGGACCAGCTGTATTTACAGTTCTTATCTCAGAAGTGCATCTTCAACCGTTCATATTGAAAGATTTAAAATGCCTAATCGATTTTCTTACACTCATCAAGCCCTAATCAATCATAGTATATGATAAGACCAATTTATAATCCAATTAAAAGATTTGATTTGATTTGATTTTCCCTTAATTTTTTTCTTTACTTAAATTTTTTTTTCATGTAAATTTGATTTCATGATTTATTTATTATTTCATCACATCCTTAAATTATTTATAATATATTTAATACTAAAATTATCTTCAATTTGATCCACGTAAAAAGGGAAAAAGATATAAATAATAAATTCCAAGCTCGACAGCATCTCATTCCTCACTCGATGCTGAGTCACAATATTCTATTCGCTCATATTATTGCACATTTAAATCAGCTCGGAATCTATTGCCGAATTTGTCGAGCTCTTGTTGGTGATATTAGCATCATTTACCGGAACTTTTTTGCACACATCAAAATAAATGATTTGAGTCCCTTTATACGAATGAAAGTTCTGAAAACAGGTGCTCTTCTTTTGATCCCTTTATCTGTAATTATCAGACAAAGAATAATAGTCCCTATTACAGATTCCCTGCAGATAAAGATATTTGATGATATCTGATTCTTCATGATTCATGCTCACCAGCATCTAATTCACCATCTGAATGAAATAGCTGCTTTTCAGATTTATATTCCATATTTTCGTTCAAGAATCAGCTTCTTGACCAACTTTAATAATTGGATAAAAGGATGAAGACGATGGAAGTGGCAGTAATGGAAGTGGCCGCCCTTATCGCTGCCTTGCTTTACGTGATTCTCTTCTTGCACACAGCAATCGTGGCGTTCAGCTTCGCCTATAAAAGACTCAAACAGCAGGCATACGTTCGAACAAGAAAGAACCTTTCTTGGACCGTGTTCTAAGAGCTTCCAGTACGTATTGCCATGGCGATCAGGACCACGAGCACCGCCGCCGCCGCCACCACCAGGTCGGTGGACGGGGACATGACGGTGGAGGAGTTCAAGGAGTGGCTGATGAAGTTCGACACCGACAGGGACGGGCGCATCAGCCGCGAGGAGCTGCAGAGGGCCATCCGCAGCATCCGCGGGCGGTTCAGCGGCTGGAAGAGCCGCCGCGGGATCAGGTACGCCGACTCCGACGGCAGTGGCTTCATCGACGAGGGGGAGATGGACAACCTGGTGGTGTTTGCTCAGAAGAGTCTGGGCCTGAGGATTGTGGTCTCTAATTAGCTGCATGGCGTGCAGTACTAGTATAATTTACAGTGGTCATGTTGTTGTCTGCAAGTCATGGAAGCTTTGAATTACTTGACGAGCTTCGTATGTATTTATCTTCCGTTGTTGCTGTTGAATGTCATCGTTTCTACGTCATCGATGTTCTTGCTATCTGTAGTCAATAGTATTAAGTAGTAATCTTCATTACATCTCTAGGAACATATATATATATATATATATGGAGCGACTTTACCCACTTGCGTCCCATCTTGCGTCCTTTACCCACTTTGCCGCCAAAATTTCGATCCGTTTAAAGACCGTGCAGGGCTTGCAGAAGAAGGAAGAGGAAGCGAGACTATCGCTCGACTTGGAGGAGGAAGAGAAAGAATGACCTCCAAACAAGAAGGGGAGGATGAAGAGTTAGGGTCTTCCTTTGATTCCGATCAAGGATACGATGAAGAATCCGAGTACGGAGGACAAGAAGAGGAAGAAGTCGAGGAAGAAGACGAGGAGAGTGGCACGGAAGAAGCCTGCTCCGCTGATCAAGATCGGAAGTCACAGAACGTCGCCGCCCTCGTGAGGTACGCTGGATTCACCGCCATCGTTGACTGCTCGCTAGTTTAAATGATCTGCCGGATTGCGAAATCTAGGGTTTCCATTTGACACAGAAATTGATCGTTGTGGGGGTGTGTACGCGTTCTTTATTTCCTTAGTTTGTTGATTGAATAACCAACTAGTCTATCTCCTCTTTGTTGATCCGCTAGCTGGATTCGAGGAGAATGGTACTTGTATCACATGGTCGTGTTTGGATGCCAACCTCTTGCCGCACCGAGTGTGGTCGTTCTCGGACCTTCTGCGCTGATAAGGATACACATGTTTCACTTATTAATCTGGATAGAACACGACAGCTTCAATTATAGAAAATTGAGGAAAGGTCGCAAGTGGAATGGTGTGACATATGAATGGTTTAATCACTTGCGACCATTCATATGTCACACCATTCCACTTGATAATGATGTGTGCACAAAGGAATTTTAGTTCTCAACGAGGTTGCTAATTGATATTGCTTAGAAGCGCAAATTTTTGTTTCCAAAAGAAAGAAAGAAATAACTCCTAGAGGTCCTAAATGTTTGTTGCTCTCAAATCATTGAAATAATCGTAAAAATGCTACGAGCATCAATGGTCTTGGATTATTGTCTTGATTATCAATGGAAATCACTTGTCTTCATTTTTCAGTTTTGTTATCAAAAGCGAATAGTCTTAGAACCAATTGGGATCTAACACCTCTAATAGGCAAGAAAATATACCAAAATATAGCAATAAGCTAGAATACTTGCCATAAAAAACAGTAAAAGTTCCAAGCTAGAGGGGACTAGTGAGAATCTGGTTTGACATCTTAGTTGTTGTCCATAGGTTGACCTTTGTGCCTTTACAAGAGAAATAGAATTCAACTAGCCCTTTTGGTGATTTCTGTTAAGCAGCATGTATTCTGTAATCAGTACTTATTCAGAAATTATTTAAAGTATTATATTACAGCAATAGAAGCTAGTTATGTTTATCCTAATTTTTACTGAAGTTGAATTTTCAAATCATTCTTTCCATATTTCTCATCTTTCCTTATTCTGATTCTTAGATAATTTTGTTTTATTTCTGATTTTAGGTAGCTTCATTTATGGTGATTTTTTTTTTCTTTTTCTTGTTAGAGGAAATATTCTTGTAAGAAGGCAGCCACTTATTCCACGAATTCTATGTGTCTCTGATGGAGCAGCGGTGGCTCGAAAGCCTTTTAAGCCACCATGCCCTTACCGATACAAGGATGAAAATGATGAACTAACTCGACGACTTTGGGTGCGTAAGAGATTTGTACCATGGTGTTCCTCAAGAACACCATTGGTTACCATTGGCAACATTCTGCATTCACCGAGTTTCACTAATGATGATCCTGAAGAAAGAAATCAGCCTCTGCCCCCTGGGATAGAGCCTTTAGTTCTTTGGCTGCCCGAAGGAGCAGATGAGGCAAATGATTGTGTATCTCGAATCGAAGTAGATCCTTTACTTGTTCGCTATCTTCGGCCTCATCAAAGGTACTGATCTCACATCTCTTATAATTGTATCTGTTGACAAAAAGAAGTTTTTTTCATTTTTTTCTTGGAAAATAAACGTCGTCTTTGTTGTTACATCCATTTTTTTGTTAAATTGTAGCATGGAATCTTACCTTGTTGCCTTTTCTAGTTATTGGTTACTAGCCCTTCTATCGGGCTCTTTATTCAGAAAAGGTAAGATATCAATGTAGTGCCTAATCACTCATGTGCCTTGACCGTGAACTGAAGCTGAACTTAAAATAAGTCAAATGATAAAAGGACAAAAGATTGCCAAGAGGATGTCTTTGACACAATGGTTATATTTTGTGCAGAGAAGGAGTTCAGTTTATGTTTGAATGTGTTTCTGGGTTATCTGGTTCTGATGGTATCTCGGGATGCATTCTGGCAGATGATATGGGGTAAATATATTTATCTAAAATTCTTTTATATGGTTCTGCATTGTTGTGATTCAAGATGCTCTACATATATTAGTTTTTGCAGTTACTACTTACTAAACCTCTACTTCTTATCCTTTTTTAAAATTTTCCAGATTGGGGAAGACTTTACAATCAATTACTTTGCTGTATACACTTCTTCGGCAGGGCTTTGATGGCCAGCCAATGGTTAAGAGGGCTATGATTGTGACTCCCACAAGCCTTGTTAGCAATTGGGAGGCAGAGATTAACAAGTGGATTGGAGGAAAAGTTCAGCTTCTTTCTCTTTGTGAAAGCACACGAGCAGATGTCTTATCAGGGATTGAGAATTTCTTAAGACCCTGCAGCCCTTTTCAGGTTTATTCTTTTTGGTTTCCAATTGCAATAACTTCGAATAAGTATTAATGATCTATATGATGACTCAGTGGATAGAGGGTATGTCTTCTAAGAAGAGTACTTGATGCATGAAATTCTTTCAGGTGCTCATCATATCTTATGAGACATTTCGAATGCATTCATCAAAATTTGAAAAAGGTGGAAGTTGTGATCTTCTCATATGTGATGAGGCTCACAGGCTGAAAAATGATCAGACATTAACCAATAGGGTATGTAAAGCTAATTAGTCTTCTCAAGAAAATGTTCATTTGCTATGTTGAGATGTGAAGAAGGATGCTTCTCATAAACCATGGGTTGTAGTATGCGCAAGGTTCGCAATACCGTACCATACCGGTATTTCGACCTGGGCTTGGTACCGGTACGGTACGGTATACCGAGCGGTACACCCAGGTGTACCGAGTACTGTAGCACTGCTACATTGCTACAGTACAGTGCTACAGTCTACAGTACTCTCGGACCGGTAACAATCGGTCCGCGTACCGACAACCTGTCGGACCGGTACGTACCGCCCATACCAGGCGGTACGGACCGGTACGGCAGACCCTGAGTATGCGTATATGTGCGTTGTTCTTTTTGTCTTCAGTATTTGTTGAAACCCAAGATTTGGTCATGGTGCATCTCCTTTTTGTATCAGGCATTGGCTTCTCTACCTTGCAAAAGGCGTATCTTATTGTCAGGGACGCCCATGCAGGTAACATGGTTCTTTGTGTGGTTCTCATAATGCAAGTTCATTCTACCAAATTTGTTCTATACGAACTTACTTCAGTTTTGATAGAATGATCTTGAAGAATTTTTTGCCATGGTAGACTTCACAAATCCAGGAGTTCTGGGAGATGCTACATATTTCCGGAAGTACTATGAAGTAAGTCGATACCTTGATGTTGTAGTCATTGTCAATATCTGCTACATGAATGTTACTTTTTTACCTTCTGCTATATGTATCAGAATTGTGCTTTTCTTTTGTGGACATCAATGAGCCATGGCAAGTTTCTTGATTTTCTTTGAATATGAAATTGTTGGACGAGGTAAACCATAATAACTGATATGGATGCTTAACCCATAGCCATTCTCTGTATGTTAACTAGATGTTGTAAAAGCAATGGATGAAAATATAAAAGCATGAAACTGCAGTTGACTGTTTCTAATCAATTTAAATTAACGTTATTTGGTATTTTACAAGTAAAAGGTGCACTAAATTTGTATAGGCTAGTCTTGCAGGATTTGTCTATGTTGTTAGCTTATTTCATTGAACTCGCTCTCCTAATTCTAGATCTTGTTCCTGAATATGTACGATACTATAATGCTTATTGTATTACAGTGTATAATATCACACAAATAATGGAACATCGAATGATTCTCAATCTCCAAACATACCAAGTCATATCCTTTTCTTCATTAATTTAATCATTTCGATCTTCTAAGTTTGAGCACCCCAAAGCTGCTTTTAAACTTTTTAAGTATAACCATCTATAGAACATTTGCACAGAGTTTTTTGTTCAAAAACATGGAGGTCAACCTTATAAATGCAGATTACCTGATTTCATTTAATCTACCATATTTTCTACTGTCGTATGTTAAAAAATATAAGCCTTCTAAGTGGCTATTTCTAAGTTTTGATTACATAATATCCTTTATCAGGGGAAATTTGAGATAATAATTTATAGGCTAGAATCTGGTGTTAAAAAACCAATAATTTGATAAATATTATACAAGTTTTGTAGAAACCCTTTGCAGCCAATCTTGATACATAATAGTTTAACACAACAAGCACACTTGTCATGATTAAAAGTACTGCAAAAATAAAACTTAAAAACTAGATGAATGAAAAACTAATGGCAAATGTTTATTAGAGGGAACTCTTTGTCCTTAATAAATTTGATTTGTTTGAGTTTCCATAATATTATTACCTTGCAGAAACTGCCAAAGAGTACTCCATAACTAGTGTGCTAATATGTGCTTGAGAAAACATGGAATGGCATGTGTCATGCTTGTCCTTATCAGATTGCATTTTTATGATAGTACAAATATTGGCAAGGGCTTAATACATATAAAAATCTGATAATAATGCACGGGCAGGGGGCATCTACCTTTCAGGATTCGGCAGGAATGGGGATACTGATACTGCAAGTAAAATTCATGAGAAACCAGACATTTGTCTGCAGCCCATTACAATTTGGACTAGACTAACTCTTTCTCGAGTTTGTTATGCAATTGTCATACTCTTAAAAGAAGACTGCAATTCATGGTATATTACCATATTTGAATTGCATATGAAAACCTACTTTTGGTTTTGACATATATTCGAAATCATCTAGAAAATGTTTATAAAATTTTAGGCAACACATTGAGTCAGTTTTTTAGCAGTCATATGACCATGGAATGCCATATTAGTTTGAAAATGGCCAAACATCAGTTGTTTGTTTGCCTTGGTATCAGTAAAACCTGTTATCCTTACATGCATTATGAGGCTATTCATAAAGTACCATGATGGGGTATCACCCTTTGTCATCATCCACTCTCCAAATTGATTTTCTCCTATGAAAAGCAAAACAACTTAATTATGTGCAATTGCATTTTAATGTTCAACATTGCTTCATTCATGTTCAGTAGTATTCTTTAAACTTATAATTGAGTAGCATATTCTCTTTGTTGGTCTTCTGACTTTGGCTGTGTTGCTGAATTAACAGAACATGGTGATTCATTTTAACCTTAGATTTACTCTTCTTTTTCCATTTTTTTATAAGAAATGATTCCTTGATTTTTTTTTAATCTTTCGACAACTTATTTCCTATTGTTAGCTCAAAAGAATTGATGGCTTGTTAGATTTAGCTAGTGGCAACTGTTTTGATGATAGAGAATGACACTAATATTTAGTTATATACTTAGGCAATTTTTGCAGTTTTTATCACTGTAATTTCTTGACCTAACTTATTTTTTATGGCTTTAAAAAAGATACCAGTGGTTTCTGGAAGAGAGCCTACAGCAACCTTAGAAGAAAGGAAGTTGGGTATTGAGAGATCTGCTGAGCTGAGTGTAAAAGTAAACCAGGTAATCTTTCTTGAAAAATGCAAGCCTTAAAAGTCATACTGCACATGGCATGATTATGAGTGCAAGCTTCATTCTTTTTTTTTTTTCCGTATGCTTCATTCTTGTATAAGCAACACATCACTATGAAAGTCATACTTTCATTCATGCCATTACAAATTCTCCTTTTTCTATTTATAAATAAAACGCCTAGAATCTAGGATTTATATGTAATAATCTTGAATATTGAAGGGTATATATGTTAACTTTTTAGAGGGACATATGCATGTAAATGCTTGTATATAGAATAATAAATTCCTTCAAAAACCATTTGTGGTAACAGATATATGATGTGTGTACATGTATTTGTATTATTGTATATATGTGGAGAGCAGAGGGCGGCCTCTTGTTGCAATTAAGCTATTTCATATGACAAGCATCAGTTGTAGAAATAGTCTCCCCCCTTAAGCCAATGTTCACTGATGCCGTCATTATGGCAGCTTGAATGGTGGGTTGCCCTATGTTAACTATTAAGAGAGTGGCACAGAACTATCATGAAATCCCACTTATCAAGTGAAAACTAGTGTACATTCTCATTATAGCATTTTTTTTCCTTTTGTACATCAGCAACATTGGTTTGTCAGGCAACAATTTATCCTGCTAAATCCGTAATGATTTTTTCTAACCTATCTGCTTATGTTTCAGTTTATACTGAGGAGGACGAATACTTTGTTGTCAAATCACTTACCACCTAAGGTATCCTGCCTCTCCATAACTTTAATTTTGCTAAAGATGAGGTTGAAATTCTTGTTGTTATGAGAAAAGTGGCTAGCTTTTTTTCAACTCAAGGTTTTTGTAGTTCTAGACATCAAATTATTTAACTTTTTTGTAAGATAAGTATTAACATTGAAATTAAGGCTCTTAATAATATCAAATCTAGCACATTCTTAATCATCCATTGTAACATGTCTGCATGTCAATGGGCTATTAATTGATAGTAGTTAAGCACTTAGCACTAGGGATTAGTTACCTTCTACGATCCAAGGTAACTAAGTTGGCTTTGATACCTACCAGTTGGGCGAGATTATTGTTTCATCTATAATTCACAAAGCCACTCTGTCATGCAATTCTGTATGGTTACACTTTATTTAGCTCTACATTAGTCACATTTAAATTACAAGAACATGGTGGGAATGTTCGAAGCAAGGTCCAAAAGATTAATTCGATACCAATACTGATCTCAGATCCAGGGTACCAACATCAATTTGTACCAAGTTTCATTATGGACCAATGTTGATTGCTGTGGTCAATATCCATGCCAGACGGATCTTTCCTGCACTTATAATTTATTTAAGACCTTTATTTCTCTTCTTTGATGATTTTATAACATTTTATTAATCATACAACAAAATGATTTAAATAGAAGCAATTAAAAATCAACACATAACATCAATCATAAGGCATATATATAAATATTACATATAACTTCAATCATAAAACATTAAATTACAACTGTTCTGTTAATCAAACAGGCCTGTGTTTTTATTATGCTTGTTACATTGCCATTGTTCTGTATTTGGTTTTCTGGGAAAATCATATTTTAACTTGATCAATATTAGAAGTTTGTCATGGTAGCTTCTGGGCTTTCATTTATTTGGTACTTTTTTTTGGTATTGGTGCATGTGTATTACAGTTATCTAATGTTGTACCAACTACCAATGGGAGTTTTTGGCTTCTTTTGATAATTAAATGAATCATTACATTTCCACACACGAAATGATTCAAACTGCTGAATCTCAAAACAAATTTAAGGCACAGGGGTATTATCTCTATATCTATCTTATGTTAGAACAACAAAGAAAGAGTTCTTTTATCTCCATCTGTAAATCAAAATAGTCAATTTTGCAAGTAAAATATATCATCATTGACAACTATCAAGCCAAACCTATGCCTATTACTAACTTTTTGGGAAGGCCGATCATGCAGCACCTGGCACTTCACAGCTATTAATAATGTTAAAAACAGTTCCATTCATCCCAGAATTGTTTATTAGTAACAGACGTTCTTCCATCAACCATATAGACTTTTTTTCGTTATTTTTCCTTGTATTTGACATGAACTTCCACGTGATGTCGCATCAGTAATGGCCAACTGTATGAAGCGAACTTGTTGATTTTTTATATGCTTTTGACACAATGAATCTATCTAAAGTCTTCTTATCATGGAAGCAGGATGAGTGCCATTTATAGAACTAAATGCATATTAGCTCCCTTTTTCTAAGGCGATTTTACTTTTGCAACTTGGGGACTCAGAAGTTCTTAAGTGAAAGGGATATGGTTCAATGGACGCCTAGTACATTTTTTGGGCACATTGAAATCTTATTTTACATTTTAAATTAAGAGTATATTAGACTGAGAAATATAGAAAAAAAGGTTTAATCATATCATTTTCTACAATTTAAAAATTTTCTAAGAAAGGTTGTGGTGGTCACCATAGCAAGCAAGGTTGGTGCCATATAAGCTCAATGGTAGAATGCCAAATTAGCAGGTCAAACTTGGTCTATAAAACCTAAGACTGTTGGACTTTTAGATGGTTTAGACATTTGGTCCCTTTCAAAGTAATTCTTAGAGAACAACTCTGGAAGAGAAGATCTATAATGGACATAGTTAGGGAGAAAGGATTTAGCATTCAAATAAAACAATTGAGTAACACCAAGGTGAACTTCCTTTTGTCTATGGAAATTGCAGATGTCATTTAACATAATTATGCATATTTATTGCTTCATTTTTAGTACATTTGTTGACCATTAAGGTCCATCTATAGCTCCTTTCTTTATTCATATGCTCCTTATGCTCAGGGCAGAGGTATATATGGAAAGTAGTCTCAGTTTTCCAAGGCGCTTGTATTGCTTTTATGTATCTTTTATTCTTGCTTTAAATTTGTATTTTAATCAAACTCAGTTTTTTTACTGACTTGGTTATTTAAATATAGATCATTGAAGTGGTATGTTGCAAGCTGACTCCTTTACAACTCGAACTCTATAATCATTTTGTACAATCAAAAAATGTGAGAAGACACCTACCTTGCATCGTCATTATGCTAATTAGTAATAAACTTTACTAATAAAATCTTATTTTTCATATATGAATTTTATAGGTTAAGCATGTTATAGCTGAAGAGATGAAGCAATCCAAAATTCTAGCATATATAACTGCTCTTAAGAAGCTATGCAATCATCCAAAGGTAAATATTAATTTTTGTAAGACTTGTGCAAGGCTTTATAAAACTATTACTACAAGAGAAATAATAAGAGCTGATTTCATTAACTTCGATATGCAGTTGTTCCACAAGTGATTCTTTGTTGTTCTATTATTCTATATGATGATGGTTGTTCAATTTGTTCTGCCTCCTACCTGGTGGCACACATTTAATGTAGGAATGTCATAAAAAATTACGTTTAGTGCAAGGCTTTTAATCTCTCTCCAATACTAGTTTAGTGATCGACCGGACCAGCTGGTACTGATATACTAACCCAAACCGCTTGGTATCATTCAGTATAATAATAAACAAATATAATCAAAAGTATTGTATTGGTATTGAGCTCCATGTCTCAATACTAATAATTTGTCAAATTAGTAAGTACCAATATGTTATTCAACTAATTCATTGATAATTGCTATTAATATGGATGTTTCATAAGGTCATATATAATGATCATAGGCTCCTAATATTCAAAGTATAAAGTTACAGTACTGTGTATAGAATATACACCTATATATCATCAAAAGACACTTTTAGGTCATTAAACAATCATGTACACTTTTTTGGTTATTTATTATTACCCTATGATCTATATTCCTTGTTTTGTTCAGCTCATCTATGATTCTATTAAAAGTGGAAGTTCAGGAACGTCAGGTTTTGATGACTGCATACGTTTCTTTCCTACAGAATTATTTTCTGGAAGGTATTATCAGCGGTGTCCTTTTTTTATCATAAAAACAAGATGTTGTATTTCTTTTACTTGATTTTGAGTTTTGTTTGGGTAGATCTGGATCATGGACTGGTGGTGGTGGAATATGGGTGGAACTGTCAGGAAAAATGCATGTCCTAGCAAGGTTACTTGGCCAGCTTCGTAAAAATACTGATGACCGCGTTGTTCTTGTATCCAACTACACTCAGGTATAGTTAGGACATTATGGCTTGTTAGCATCGTTATTGTAATATCCAACTACACTCAAGTGATTAAGAACTTATCTCACTAAAATTGTCATAGACTTAATTGCTTCTGTCTTACCTAGTTAATGCTTGAAGAAATATTAAATGCTAGGGAAGCATATTGAGATGTAACTATCTCTCTAATAGAATATAAAACATAGCCCATTGAGCTGGCATCAGTATATAGATTATTGAAGCAATGCTAGACAGTTGCTTAATTTACTCGATGTTTTTTTAGTCCTGCAGACTAACATGCTTATCATTCACTGTCAAACACTAATAAATATAACATAAGATATTATTGATACGTCAAAGTAGATCCTGTGCTTTTTTTAGCATAGAGGTTACTTCATTTTGTTAGTTGATGCCTTAGTTTTTTTAATGTGGGATTTATATGTACTGATGCTTTGGTCAAGAAGCTTGCATACATTGATCCTCCTCAGACTTCACATTAGCGGTTCACCTTTATTTTATTATATGTACTAATGCTTTAATATGAAGTTGCTCAAGAAGTTTCTACATTTCTAGGTCCCTAAGTAATTACTGGAAGTGATTTTTTAATTTTCCTCCTTTGTCCAAAGGGTAATGTAAATATTTTTTTGTGCTAGCTAATGTTTCTCCTAGTGATTGCATTGGTTTTGAAGAATACTCCTGATACTTGTATATTGACCAACTTAGATTTGATGCACTAAGGAGGCTCCATAGTGAAGGAAGTTTGACACTTTAGGAAGTCAAATAAAATGATGAAGTGGTAATGCTCTGTCTTACATATGAGTGTAGTGGCCACGAAACAAAAAGCTTGTCACCAAGGATTGCATCGATGCTGGAGAATATACCTACAAGTGGTACTATACATTGACCAACATAGCTTTGATGGACCAAGGAGGCTCCACAGTTAAGAAAGTTCTGTAGCCATAGAATAATTTTTTTTTTTTTTTGGCTCACTACTTTTATTGGATAGACAAACCTCTCCTTTGAATATGGTTACCATATATGTATGCACTAGTTATTGTCATTTTTTGTAGAAACTATACCATTGGTCCTACTACATCCTAATTGTCTTTAGTTCTCTATTATAAAATTTTGAATAAACTTGTTTGTGCAAATGCTTCTGTTTCTCCATCTTGCCTTGTCTTATAGTGCATTATGGTTGCAACATTAGTTGTTTGTTCATTGATCCTGATGTTTTGAAATCCTTTCAGACATTGGATCTGTTTGCTCAATTGTGCCGAGAAAGAAGGTATCCCTTTTTGAGGCTTGATGGAACTACATCCATTGGAAAGCGGCAAAAGTTGGTCAATCGTTTTAATGATCCATCTAAAGTGAGTAATTATTTTCTTTTTTTCTGTTTTGACATGTAGTCATTACACCGACTTTGATTATGTAGTTGTTCTGGCATTTTCCTGGCAGGATGAGTTTCTGTTTCTTCTAAGTAGCAAAGCTGGCGGCTGTGGACTTAATTTGATTGGTGGAAATCGCCTGGTCCTTTTTGACCCTGACTGGAACCCTGCTAATGACAAACAGGTATTCTTTTTCCCTGAGCGACTTCCTTTATACCTGTTACAATAAGTTGATAATATTCAGAGGATATGCTTTTTTCCTTCTCCAAGGCTGCAGCAAGAGTCTGGAGGGATGGGCAGAAGAAGCGAGTCTACATCTACAGGTTCTTGACCACAGGAACCATTGAAGAAAAGGTTTGGACCTTTTGATTTGTAACATTGTAATAATTCTAGGCCACTGTATAGTTTATCTTTGTATTATTTCTATAATGCTTTGGTTGCATAGATTTACTATGGACTATAAGTCTACTCTTCTAAGTGATTATTGATATTAATATAATCTTTTGCAGGTCTACCAGCGTCAGATGTCGAAAGAAGGACTTCAGAAAGTTATTCAAAAGGAACAAGCAAATAGTCAGATGCCACAGGTATAAATTTGCTATGTTTTACTTCCCTTACAATGCATAGTACTTGAGATATTCATCTTTACAGGGGAGTCATCTGTCAAAAGAAGATTTGCGTGATCTTTTCACTTTTCATGAGAATGTCAGGTAATTTGTACATCTAATTTGAATATTGTCTTATAACCAGGTTGATGAAATGACTTAAATTTTAGTTATATAATGTTTTTAAATCAATACAGGTTAGTATTTCTGCTGCAAAACTATTATGCTAAACAGTTAGAAGGGTAGAAAAACTTTCCAGGCAATGACCATTAATAGTAATGTTACTCTAATATTTTTCAATTCTTGCATTTGACTGGGGTTAGATCAATCATTATTGATGAACATATTTTTATTCTTGCCATTCTACTTGTATTTAACATGTAAATATTTATACTTGGTCGATACATGCAAAAGAAGATAATGGATGCACCAGTATGGAGGTTTGAGTCGACCGAGGAAAGTGAGAGGAAAGACAGACATTGGTCAAAAATGAGAAAATGGTGCCTCTGTAACTTTAAAAAATGTTGCTCTTGACAGAGCTGAGTTGAGAAAGGCTTCATTCAACCACAAATGATAGAGGATTAAAATGCTTTGTTGGTGAAAACCACATGCAAGTACATTCAGTGAGTTTTAAAATGTTTGGTGTGTATCAGTTAACGACTAAATCAGTTGCTATAATTTCTCATAGGTCTGAGATTCATGAAAATATGAACTGTGCACGCTGCAAAGAAGATGGCCTGATGGCAGTGAATAACATTGTCAATGAGATAGAGGACGATGACAGTGGAGATTCATGTGATGGAAAGCAAAAGCTAAGTGGATTAGTAAATGACATTGGCGGATTTGCTGAAATTGCTGGATGCTTGCAAAATTTGACAAGCTCCCAGAGACAGGTTACTCTTACATAAATGTTCATAATTTTTCTTTAGCAAATTTTAGCTATTTTCTTAGAATGTTTGTTCACTTTGCTTTTTTCAGCTTGGAACCCCGTCTGAAGAAGATTTAGGAAGCTGGGGCCATCATTCAAACCCTGCAACAGTACCTGATTTAATTCTTCAATCGGCAGCTGGTGATGAGGTGTGTTGTGTTATAACAGGTTGGATGAACATGCATAAATCTTTTTGATGGCTTAGCAAGATTCATGATTGCAATGAAGGTCTAAAAATCAGTTAAATATCAGTTACAACTGTTCATTGGTCCAGTACTGAACCAATGTATTAAACGGCATATCAACTTGCACCGTCTAGTATCATTAAAAAAGAATAAAAAGATAAAATATCAATTGATTCTGAAATACATAGTTAAACATTGGTTCTTTGGATTCGTCAAGTGATTCGTATAGATATGATCGAGTATTTGAAGCCTTAACTGTAGCAAATGTCATAGGTTTCTGCAGTATTTAATTTACAGCTCCTTGATATTTTTCCTTCTAACTTGTAGGATGAAACAAAACTGTAGAATAACCTGAAATAACTGTAGAATATTTTTCCTTCTTTGTTTGTATTGCAGTTTAGATAATATATTTATCTTTTTGGAAAAAAAACCTGAAATTTTATTTGCAGGTGCATAAGCCCGAGAAGCCTTTCCCTGTAATTGCACAGTGAATTGAAAGTGGCCATTGTTTTGACTATTGTTAACTACTCTGATGACTTCCACTGCTAAAGCTCAACGATTTGCTAACATGACTTGGAATCATAATTGCAGGTCACATTTGTTTTCACTAATCAAGTGGATGGAAAACTTGTTCCAGTTGAATCAGGAGTAAGATCCACTCAGCATTTAGATAACCAAAAGTATGAGAAGAAAGATGGGAAATCAATGTTCTTGCCTATGCAAATTAATCAACAATCTACAAAATCCAATGGAAACGCTTGCCTGAAGAGTTTCAGCGGCCTAGACACTCCCCTGTCAAAAGAACCCAAGTCGATGAAAACATTACGGAAGTTGCATTTGCTTAAGAAGTCTAACGTCTCTTTTGGTGACCAATCCTCCCTCAAAAGGATGCCTCTTGCTTCTTGTTTATCTGATGATGATTTCACATAAATCTACAGATCTGGCATCTTGTTGAACATACAGTCATCCAGGAGACCATGCCAAAGTTGGCATAGCTGGCTAGATGCTTCTATCGGAATTTGGAAAGATAAGCACGGAGAAAAGGAAACCAGAAGAGCTGTCCTGGTTAAGCATATTTTCCGAAGAAATAAAGCTGCAGGTTCTTCTGGCTTCACTTCAACATTATTGCCAAAGGAATTTGCTTTTCTGCCTGTATCTGTCATAAAATAAGGCCTCTGATCCTTGAATCGTTATACAAATACACTCGAGTTTGTGCTGTGCCAAACTCTGATCGGTTGCAACGTGACAAGTCATTCCCTTTGTAATAGTTGAGCTTTTGACAATTGGGCTCATCTAAAGGATCCAGGTCGCCCCGGGGTTTTGACCAACGCACAAGTTCTCTTTACCCGTTTATAAGTAGGCATAAAACCGGTAAAAGAAAAAGCATCGCAGTGGTATTATTTTCTAGTTAATTTTATTTTATTACATTTAATTGTGTACAAGCAAGTTTGTGAGTCAGTATTATTTGATTGCTTTGTTACTGTGAGTTAGTTTCTGTTTGAAGGTGTATTTTATTCCTCCCATACAGGTGTAGGCAACGTTCATTATTCTATTCCGGTTTGGTCAGATGAGCTTACTCTGCCTAACTCTGACAAGTGGATGATCCTCATCCATTGGTACACTGTTTCCCATAAACAAGTTATAGAGAGGACGTCAACGTTTCTTTGTTGGTAAGATCGAGACGTAATCCATGGATCACAGAGGGAACTCCTCTCACTTGTCTTATCTTTACTCACTGATCCTTCATGCAATCCATCATTTCCCCTTTGGATTCTTTCTCCCTTGTTGCATCATAACCAAAAGGTCTTAGGAAAGAAATCTTTTTGCGGAAATTAAAGAAAAGAACAGAGTGTGGAACTTGAAGGAGACATTGTTCTTATCGTTTCTTTTTCCTTCCATCTGGACGAAGCTCGAAATCACGATTCTACCACTCCCTCCCGCCACAGATCCCGGTGAGCAGCAGCATCGGAGCCGTCGCAAATACTCCACACGCCGCCGTCGCCGCTCCGCAGCCGGAGCAGGCGGTAGCACCCTCCCGTCCGCGAACAGAGCCTCGCCGCCCACTGCCACGTGCTCCGCGGGGCCGCCGAAGTCGTAGATCCCCTCCGCCCCGTCGCTACCTCCGGCCAGCCGCCGCTCCCTTTGGAGGAACTCTCCCAGAGAGGTCGGCCCCGCCATGTCGTTCCCGCACAGCCGCCACAAGCGCCTCCTCCCCCAGCGGACGCGCCGCCGCCGCTTCTCCGCTGCCCTCGGCTTCGGCCTCCTCTCCGCGTCCCCGGCGGAGGTTCCTCCGCCGCCACCGTGCTCCCGCCACGACGGAAGCCTCATCGAGTGGGCAGCGGCCTCGGCGTAGGTGACGCCCATCAGGCTCCCCAGCGTCGTGCTCCGGTCGGGGAAGAAGGACGCCGTTGACTGCGTAATCAGCAACGGATAACGAGTTCATCACTACAAAGCCAAACTCAAAGGCAGTCCTCTGCCGCTTTCTCTTACCTCGGTGTCGAGATCGGAGGAGGAAACAGAGTCGTTGGAGGGAGACGAAGGGATGAGATAGGTGTCCGGATCCATGGCTCCGTAGAAGTTTCCTGGACAGAAACAGAGTCGCAGGAGGACGACGAGATGGAATGGAGGATTGAAAGAGACGATACGATGGTGGTGAAGAAGAGAGGAGTGGGGCATGAAATGACAGGACTGGCCTTGATGCTCGAGGGCTCGCAGTCACTGCATGGGCGATGACGTACGACGCGGGGCGTCTGAACACTTTTAGGTCAGCTGATTTGGACGTCATTGGATTAATGGCGTTTGTTTTCGTTGACTAGTCCAAGTAAACAAGCAAACTGATCGGCCACAGGAGATTCCACAGTGCATGCGCATGACATCAATTGCTTGTCGTACTAAAATTCATGATTGAGATTATGTCACGTTGGATTGCCAATCATCCTGAATAGATGATCTCAGACCAATTTGGCTGAGACCCGACTCCGATATTTGTCTCATTTATTTTAATTAAGTATCCTATCATTTGTCTCATTTCTTTTTTTTTCAAAAAAAGAAAAAAAATATTAAAAAACTAAGCTGAATGGATAACATCCAACCAACAAACCAAAAAAGTCAAATAGAAAGACAAACTTTCTTCCCAGAAGAAGACAGATGTTCTAGCAAAATTAACCAATAATTTGGCTAGCCTATTATCCTCTCTCAAAACATGTGACACTCTAAAATCCAGCAAGAAGGTTCTAAGAAGATGACAAATGTCTTGAAGTAGGATCCCAAGTTGTTTAGCCATCAGCAGTCCTTCTCTTCCTGTAGTCGTTTCACAGAAAAATATATCCCCTTTAGAAAGATTCATAAATCCACAAAATAAATATTAAGCAGTATATAATGAATCCAATTCCTCCGTTGTCTTTTTGATCTCAGGAGCTATCACTATTGAGTTTACACCAATCCTCATAGTGCACCGGGAGTCGATATTATTCGATCCTATTTCAAATGTTCAAGATTGTTTAGATGATTTCTCGGGGGAGAGATAGAGCGATGAGAGCGATATAAGGGCTGAAGATGATGATTTCAAGATTATCGTCGAGCGCTCCGAGTTATCATGAGGTGGAGTCGAAGTAGATTTGATCTTCGACCAACCTTTATACCTATGAAGCTGACAGGAGGGGATTGCAATTGGTGAGGACTGATTATACCTTTTTTCGATGCGATCGTATAAGCGACCAACCCATACACCTCCAACAGCGTGGGTCGACCCGGCTCTTATAGCGTGGTGTCGATTCGTACAATCCCGTGCGACACGAAGTTGGCAAGGGACGATTAAGAGAGCACTGTCCACTATCTCAGCCCTTTTCTACATCATAAGAGGATCCCAAGTAACTAGAATTCAATTTACCCTATCACTGTTTTCAGATAAAAGAGTCTTCATGGAGCATGAAATAAAGCTACAACTTGATAGAAAATGGAGGGATAGTGCCACTGGTTATTAAAAAGTTTGTCATTAAACGATTTTCAAATAAAGACTAGAAAATTTGAAGGCATCATTGCAGTTAAGTGAGTCTCCCTTCCTATGCCAATCATCAGAATCTCAGGTATCAAAATATAAGAAAGTGGTACCAAATTTGTTTTGAACCCAGTCCCACACCAATCTGGCATGATTGCAGTGGAAGAAAAGATGAACAACACACACTCAGAAGAAGTATCAATCTCAAAAGCAAGCAATCTATCATAAGTTAGCTGCTACAATTTAGAGGCTTTCAGCAGAAAAACTTTAATCTGGAGGACCATAAGAAGCCTCCACAGATTGCCACTCATCTAAAAAACCTGCAGAATCCAACTTACAGGATTGAAGGAAATGGAATGCAGGTTTGGCTGAGGCTTTACCACGCAGAATCAATAGCATAAATGCATCACAATAGCCTCAAACTCGAAGCTCCAAAAGTTCTAAATCGGATGAGGTTCTTGTAATTTATTGACAAGCTTACATTTCTTGCATCAAACATGGATTCCAATAACTTATTTTTACATCAATGCCTCAACTCAAAGACCAAACAATTAATGACATGCAACTGCAAAAGAATGATACATGACTCTGCAACACATGCCGAAAGAGAAGGAAAGAAAAAGCCCTGCTATCCATCTGCTGTGTTCATGTCTTTCTTCAGAACAAGGTTTCCTGATTCATTCCTGGTGAAGAGCTTGTCGACCAATTCATCCCACTTGGTTCTGCCACTGGATTTTGAACCATTGCTTGAAGTTGTGCCTTCCTGACCTTGAGAAGGCGCAGCGCCGGTGACCTCACTGTGGTCTCCTGTTGCGGCCACCACAGCATGCGGTATGTCCAAGGTCACTGCTCTTTCCAGTGCGTTCTTGTGTTCTTGCTCAAGACTCAGATTCCTACTCATTTTTTGTTCTGGTGGAGCGGTTTTGGGCACCATATCCTTCAGCAGCTGCAACATAACCAGCTTTCAGAACTCTTCAAACTTCTGAAACATAGTCTAGTGTTAACAAGAAGGCAACTAACAATTCATCGTTGATAAATCTAGTGTGTGCAATCCTTATTTTAACATGGTTCAGATACATGGTTTTCACCGTTTACTCCTAAATTTGAGATGGTCCGGTTGAGTGATCGCCATAAAAAACTCTACCCTGTTGATGCTATACGTGGAAGTATATAGGTATACCAGAGTTTTGCATGGATGTACTTAAAAAGATATATTGGAGTCGAGTAAATTCTTATTTTAACATGCACAAGGATGTAGTTTTCTTTGTTTAGCCTATTAAGATGGAAACAATTAAGACCGATAAAATCTTATGAAAGATGACAAATGAGAAAGATGCGTCGGTATCAAAGATGACAAAGCTGAGTGTATTGAGGTCTTACATCTAAAGCCTTTTGTGCTTCACGCTCTATCCATACAATTGCATGGTCCGATGTGGTACTACATGAAAGCACAATGTGCTCGAATCTTCCGTCTACCGGAATGGCAGTCCTCACCTCTGGAGGATATCTTCCACATCTGCATCCACAGATATTATCGTGGATTTATTCATTTGCATTTATTCAACATACACACATATGCATTTATTCTTTTCGTGGCCTTGTTTGAATCCTAGGCATTAGATTCCATATCAATAGTTGGACATAGTAGTCGATTTTGGCAAATCACTCAGTGGCATAATTGTAAAAGAGGATAAGCACTTGTTCCTTCAATATATCTATATCGACTGAAGCGACGATGGAAATTTTGCCACGGATCAAAGTATTTAGAAGTTAATGATCCTACATTGGTCTCAAAAAAAGTAAATAGTTTATTGAACCATAATAAGGGATAGTTCTCCTCATCTTCAGGAAGTGCAGTTCATTGTCAATGCTGTTGTCAAAATTTTTCATAATATATATGATCAAACAATTCTTCATCCATTGATCTTCCATTCTACACTGGAATCAACCCTTTGCGACATTCATTGCTGAAAATGCTCGCTCCTTAGTTGTTGTTGCTATTGGCAGAGTCAATTCTGATTTTATCGAGTGTTAAATTGAAATGACCTAATTTTTATAATGAAAATCTTCGTCAAGAAAATTTGAACCAAATAACCTGAATAAAGTTTGCAATAGTGATCTCCTATCTAACGGCACCCATGTGACTGCATGTCAATGGAAACTTGAAACCTTGATATATATGAAGTAAACCCAAGGAACTTATGATTGTTTGCATTCATGACCTTTCTGAAAGTTGATTTCGACTATGTAAGCAACATTTCAAGATCTTAAATCCATTGGTGATGTTTATATCACTTAGGCATGCTCCAAAACTACAAAACTTGGAAAAAATTTTAATTATTAAAAATCAGAAACTCAGCCACTCGATAATAAATCAATGCATAAATTTCAACTTATCAAGATATTCAATAATCAATAGATCAGGTCAGTTGGATAAGTCACCGTCTTCAGTAGAAGTTTATTATAAGTAACCATGATTAAATCAGTTCCAGAAATAGTAATATAAAATACAAAAAGAGACATGAGATTAGTTTTCACAGACATAAACCAAAGAAGTCAGACAACACTTTTAATCTTCACTCAGGAAGAAAATATCAAAAATTGAAGGAAATATTATGAATCATAAGGATTCATCTCAGTGGAGACATCCAGGTGGTTAGCACATTATATATGCAGTTAAAGATTCTAGGTTTTTGATCCCTATGGTGAGTGTCGAATGAGTATGAATCTTTACATAGTTCTGCATGAAGAACCACCACTTAGCCAGTATCATATAAACATTTGGCATTGATGTCAATCTGCAATATAACTCTTGATGAGTATTTCTTAGAGCCCCCATGTAAGCAATGAAGAATAAACTAATATTGGACCTATCCAATCATGATGATATGATTCTTTATATGTTGCCCTCTATGCTCCTCTGAATCTCTGTCACTACACAGCGTCAGGATTATCTTAAACCAGAGAAACAATAAGCATGTAAACATTGCATGTTTGATGTCTGTGTCATCATATTTTCTCAATTTCATTGGATGAGGTTACACTAACATTTTACCATGCACCCTTTTGGTGGTCTTTAGGCCCTGTTTACTTATATGCACAAATTGAACCAGATTAGCCATTGGGACAATCATAATGTGGACATCAATAACAACTGCATGCTACACCAAAGTTGTGGGTGATCCTTAATGGCTACTTCATATCCGAAATCACCTAAATTTTTCTCTGTAATGCAAGTTTGATTCACTCATCTGTCAAGTTAGAACCAATCTACCAATCCAAATCTGAAGAACACCTGTAGTCGACATCAGATGGTTCATGTTTGCAGGACGAATAACCAGTTCTATACCTCCAACATGCATATATCATGGATCTGTTCCTTCTAGTATCAATTTGGATATAAGTTTCACCTGATGTAAAATTATGTGAAAATAGAAGTCTATGATGGTTATATGCTTGAGAAAAACAAAAGAATTTCATTTACCACAAGTGAAATATGGAAAATTGATATTAGATTTATTAAGATGAAGAGATTTCTTAATGAAAGTCAACGAATATAATCATTTCTGGACTCAAGAATGTCAAACAGATTTAGTACCTGCAAAACTTTCTCTCAACGATATGATATATTCGACCGGGAACATAAAGCCTCCTTGGATCTTTGAGCTTTCTCTTTTCCGGAATAAATGTATCTCTCATGCAAACCAAACATAATAAGCAGGGCAAGCTGTCCAAATCAGTAACACCTAATTAATTAGATACAGATTTTGCTGTTCATCAAAACTAAGCACAAGATTTGAAATCTCACCAGAAAATAGATCCAAAGATATGCTCCAAGGGTGTTGGTGTTCTTGGTAAAAAATCATCCTGGGAAAGATCTTACTATGTCAAAAGCAGAATTCAGAAAGATTCATCACATGACACTCATATATAGTTGAAAATGAAAAATGGTAAGTTAAAAGAAGGTTTGTATGATTGCAAAGACAAATCAGTCTCTCTGAGCTTTCGGTTGACTATTGCTTATGCTAGCTACATCGACATTGAAGGATGCTGTGAGGATGGAACTATTCCAAAGGTAGTCATGACTCACACCCAGCTCTCAAATGTACCAATGGCAAATATAATTCATATGATCCAACAACACCCTGCTTTTATATTGCAGTCAAACCTGCACTTGCCCAAATCCCTACAGAACTATCATTTGGTGAGATCCAGATCACTAAACTTGACTTCCCTAATGCTTAGACTGAGGTCAAGCTCTCAAAACATGAATTCCCGATCGAATCACTTCCCTAACATAAGCAAGCGGTCCAATAAGCAACAAGAACGACGAAGAGATCAGAGAGCCGCACTTGCCTGCAGGATGACGGAGTTGATGACATCGGCATACTTCACGGCGAGGTTGAGTGACATGCACCTGGCAGGAGCGATGGCGTAGCATCGGATTTGGCTCCTGGGAATGCCCCCAAATTGATCGCGGTGGTTGACGACGATGATGGTCATGAGGGCGGCGATGCCGGAGCCGAGCGAGTGGCCAGCGAAGACGAGCTTGTATTCGGAGCCAAGCTCCAGCCAGAGGTCAAGTAGGGTATCGGACTCGCGGTTGAGGAGCCAGGTGGCGGCCCGGAGAAGGCCGTGGTGGACGAATCCGCCGTCGAACATCTGCTGGCCAAGGCGGTTGTCGAGCAGGACCTTGTAGTCGCTCTCGCGGACGAGGTTGAGGCCGCGGACGGCGAGGACGACCTCCTTGTGCTCGCGGTCGACGTAGATGAGGTACGGAGGGCAGCGACCGTGGGGGATCTCGTCGTATGGGACGCGCTTGACGACGCCGGAGGAGTCCATGCGGTATCCGCCGGCGGGGGCGTAGTTGGGGTTGGCCAGGTCATCCTCGTAGATGGCAAGCACGACGCGGCAGACGCGAGGGGCGGGCTCGAGCTCCTCGGCCGTGGCCTGCGGCCACGCCTCGCTGTCGTAGGCGCCCACGTAGGCGAACCGCTTCCACGCCCAACGAGAGCACCCCAAGCACAGCACGCACTCAAGCCCGCACAATGCCGCCGCCATGTTCGGCCGGTGGTGGCGGAGGCCGCGACGAACGAGGCGGCGCAAAGGAATACGTTTTGGCTCTTGTTCTGAGGCGTGTTATGGGAGACGAAGCAACATGGGGAAGGACTAATAATGGTAGTAGTGGGAGTAGGAGAAGGAAACCAGACAAGAAGGTCCATGTTGGACACCAAAGATCCCATGGTCTATTGGATTTGCAGAAGTTGGATTAGATTTCGCTTCCTCGGTCAAAAGATGTCGCTGTGGAGAATCTACCGGTAGGATATTTAGTAAATCTAATACATGCAGTCTTGTCTCAGATTTAAAAGAAATAATTTCGATATTGAGTGATTGGAATTCATACTTTCCACATCTTCACCATCAATTGTGCTGTTCTCTGCGGATTCACATGGGATCGCTACTGATATAACCAAGCATTTATGACGAACTTTGTGATTTGAGGTTGGAACTGTCTGCATTAGTGTACATCCAAATAATAATAATAATAATTATTACTATTATTATATTAAATAAAAAAGGGGTACTTTATACTCTCGTGATGTGCGGAAACAAAAAAAAATATAGAGCTGATAGATCAATCTCTCCTCCAAATAAAATATAAACTATCAATTATTATGATGCACGTGAGAGATAATTATGTTAGTAATAGGGATGATTTTGTCTCACGCCAGCTGATCTGCTATCGAGGTTGACACCCGTCTCTAGATCACAAGCATCAAGATAGTGTCGTAGTGCATCTCGATAACTGCTTTATCTTAACAAAGGAGGAGAAAAAAAGAAAATGATCTTTTAGGTCAACACCCATATGAGCAAAGACCGCCCCAATAAGAAAGTATAGCTCATCCCAAACGGGCTTCACACCGACCGTCAGAGTTCCAACAACGATCATGTCACCCGATAGGAATGCAAGAAAAGAGACGTCATTCAAGACCTCCATTCGAAGCTTTAAAGAACATCTTTCTACAGGGAAGAGTGATAGGGATGAATCTTGACACCTCCCAACTTCTCCCGTCACGTAAGCAACACCTAAATGAAGGCTTCGAGTCACCTATGAGAGGTTACGTCACCTGCCCCAACTTCTTGAAATAAGCCCATAGGAACCAATCATCGATCTCATAGTCAGGAAAATAAACTTGGCTCTATTAATGAACGATGGCATGACCCAACTTCACCGGTTTTTCCTTTTGAATGAATGATGAGAGAACCACGCCCTACTTGACCCAAAGAAGAAAGGAAGCATGACCCGAGACATCACCATGATAATCCCCATATGTTGCCTCTAGGAGCATGTGTCATAAGTTGCTTGCATTAAATATTTTCACTACACCAAGTAAGGGGAGCCTCGACAGAGACCCGTCCATTCCACCCAATGCCTAGGTATAAAAGTCGTACCCCGGGCTAAATTGAGGGCAGACAAGTAGAAAAGACTCTTTACTCTCTTAATTCATCCATTCTGATTTTCTAACTTAAGTATCAGAGGGATTGAGCCGTAAGCAGAAGAGACTCTTTACTCTCTTAATTCATTATTGATACTATTATCTTTCTTCCCTTTTGATTTTCTAACTTAGGTATCGGAGGGGTTGAGCCGTATTATGCAGAGTCATCAACATAGCTTAGAGGTGCAACCAGAAAGTTACTAGTTACCAGCAGAGATCACTCAACTCTCGAACCAAGCTTCATCACTCGAAGACTGAGCCGCTCCTAGCTCATTGCCTCTTCCTACAACTTTCTTCGTTTTGCACATCGCACGTGCTCTTCACGTCACCAAAAGGGACCTGTGCTTTCTATAGAGAACCAAAACCAATCAGACCGACTCATCAGTCCACAGTCTTGTGTGTTAATAACAAAATACAATCTTCACTACTCCTAATACATTAGTAATAGTCAGAGAATAATGAATCACAAGAGAAATGAGAGCTCAGAAAAATGAGATAACTGACATGTATGATTTGCACTAGGAAGAAATCTGTTCATGGAACCTTCATGTTGTTAGGATTAATAGACGACTTAGAAGTCGCTAATGGTGGCTATCTTAGCATATTTCTTGTTTGGCTTTGGTCCTCAAACGCAGCCTAACGACTGTACTGTCATGTTGAATATTTTGCTGGTGTTGCTATCTTATGTATGTTTCTTTATGCCGACTTCACCAACATTATTAGGTTACAACATTCAACACGATCCACAAATTAGATTTAATTGCAATAGGAAAAATGTGATCGACGGAACATATCCTCATGATATCGATAACTAATAGGGAAAGATCAATCACATAGGTGGAAGGTATGCATAACGATTTTATATGACTTTATTACTGATAAGTAGATGAGATTTCCCTAACTGTTGAGGAAATCTCTCTCCTTCTAACCTGTATATAAAGACGGAGGATATGTCAATAACATTCAACTTCTTCTTCTACAACTCATTTATCTCTTTATTTTAACAATTACTAGGTTCGATGGAAAAGATTATTGATGATGAAACTGATGGTGTCATGAGTATCGTCGACTGATGAGTAGGTCCGATTGGTCTAGTATCGAAGGTACAGGCTCATCTAGGTATATTTTCCTAGTTGACATGAGAGACTTAGTAAAATGAGACCACATAGGTTACCTGATCAAAAGTTATTCTGTTGGTAAGGATCCAATTCAAGATGATCGGGTAGGTAGACTGAGATCTTCCTAGTTGTAAGATTCCTCCTTGGGGGCTAGGTCATCCGGATGTCTTCGAGTGGTCTCTTCCAAACTTAAGTTAACGAACGAGAGAAGACAACAATATAAGTTGTATGGTTGAATTATTGTATAGAGAGCTTTGGCTTAATATGAGCTAATGAGCTCATTTTTATACCTGATCCCTAGGCTTTTTTTACTAGCTAGCCTAGGATAAGATCAAGTTAACCGCTTGATCATTATGACTTATGATTTTGATAAGATAGGGTATGTATTATCGGTTATTGATGCAGGACAAATCGGGATGCACTACAACGTCATTTTAGGGCTAGTGACTTAGAGTCTTGCTTAAATGTCGGTCTTAGTTGCAGATGAGCTGGAATGGGACAAAATCATCCCTATCATAAGCCTATCATTCAAGTCTTTCTAGATTTAACGGAAATTATTTTAAATAATTTTAAAATCATGAATTTTGTTGATATGATGGATATCTATAATAGTTTTATATTTTATAAAAAAATATTTTTAAATCTTTTGGATATTGTAGATCATGTCTAAAAAAATTTATGACATTTTCCCATTTGTTAAGTGCATGACATTTTGAAAATACAATCATATTAAAAAATTATTTGTAGAAATTTTATATGTTTAATAATCGTGGATTATATGGTCTTTTGTCCAATATTTTTATCCTAATTCAAGTGTTAAAATTAATTTGCTTGACACATTGACTTTAGTCATGGAACCAATCCGATTCTTTTGTATGAATGGTGTCAAGGAAGTTAGAGGATTCGGTAAGGAAACGTAGGGTTAAGTTTATATTCATCGGTGATTTGGATGAGTTGAAATTATCCTGTAAGAACAATTTTACAAAATTATCTAAGTGGATATCAAGCTAATGATGATATGACATTCGAATGTTTATAATATATATAATATCTTAAGTCGACATGAGAGTATAATTAGTTTGAATGATATAGTAACCTAAAAAATTAATGGGATCAATGTCAGAGATTTGGTTAGATTGGAAAAGATTTATTTAATGAGATCTCTTCTAGGTGGGAAGACCATTACAAGCAAGCTAAAGGAAGCATTCGAAATGGCAAGTTGAAGTTAGGAAAGACTAGTATTAATCATTGTAATCTAAAATTCAGCCTTAATTTAAAAGCACATAATTTGAAAGTTAGAATGATATTGATTTGCAAGGAGAACTAAACTCTCATTCTCTTCTCTTTTTATTCTTTATAGAACTACCATAAATGATAGATCAGGGACAAATGAGAGATAAGAGAAGATTTATAATATCTTAATAACTAATATATTTCGAGGTTTTATTGTTTTATGGATAAGAGTAAGTATTTCGGATAGTAATTAGAAAAGTTTTTAACAAATAAAAAAATCAAAATCAAAACAAATAAAATAAATGATTATTTGAAAATAATTTTGCTTAACTAAAATTTGAAACTTTGAAAAACCATTTTTCACCTTTGCGCAAATTTTATAAAATAAATCAATAAGTCCAATAAACATAATACTACATTAAGTTTGACTATTAATACAAAATATAAAGATCGTATGTTATCAATATTATACTTCCTTCTATATATTACAATATTATTATTTTTTTTATAGTCTTTTATTCCTAAGTAATTCTAATATATACCTAGTATTTCGACTATAAATTAATATTTGGTCTGGTATAGGCTTGAGCATATAATAGGTTTTCAATTTTTCATACATAAGAAATATTTTTCTTTATAATATTTTTTAAGTTATTTTAAAAATACTTGTTTTGTTTGCAATTTTTACTTATGTCATTTTGCTGAATAAAGTTATATATTAAATCACTTCGAGACTCGATAGATTTATTATTTCTGAGATAATTTTAGTAATTTTTAGGATTATCCATGAATATCTCAATATCAATAATATAAGATGACTCATTCATATCAACCAATTTAAAACTATTGATAAGAAATTTTTTGGTTTGGTATAATAAACTAAGATCGTGGCAAGCAAAATATTATTCATATATAAGATCAATATAATAAATTTACTCACATTGATCTTTAGATATAAATGCTAATTAATAGTATTTTTATTAAATTTGAAGGAAGTAATGATATCAAAAATTTTATATACCATTATCTAGAAGCTTATTTAAATTTTTATTAATTTTTTATTAAATTTGAAGGAAGTAATGTATCTTGTTTGTATGTGGTTCTATCCTTTTATATATGAGAGTAGATGATGTAGGATTGATATTAAGAGAGTCTCTCTAATCAGAATAATTTTCTAAGAAATATTATCATAATTAAACTTTCTTTTTGTTGATCAATAATCGTAATCAGAATCTAATCATATCTATAATATATTTTATCTAATTAAAAAAATCACATAATCTAAATAGATAGATGTATACACATATTCGATCGATTATTCTAATAGTGTATATAAGATTTTAGTATATCGAAGTTCATTATTTTTTTCTCAATCACGTCGTTATCCAAGTGACACATGCTCGTTAGTCGAGAATTTAATTTCGTATAGTATAATAAGAATATCAATAAATAAAAATAAATACATAAATAATATGCCATCATGGCACACAAATCATCTTGTTAGACACAAAAGGTGCTCGTAATGAACTAAAAGTTCACCTACAAATTTTACTAGATCTTGTTAGAGATGATATTAAACCATGTCTTAGCTTAATGAGTTGCTCGCCTTTAAAAATCAAATACATAAAGCGTCATAAAAATAAAAATAAAAAGGTATCGTATTAGCAACCGTTAAGAGGGTTACCGGCGTCTGAGGTATTTGGGGGGCCGGCAATAAATCTTCTTCTCTGCACAGTTTTCAAAGCAAAAGTGCGACTAATTCCCATCTTCCTGTCAAAGCAAAGCAAAGCAAAGCGATGATACCAATTCCATGCTCTTCGGCAACGCAAAGGATGTAAGCCTATACATATCGCCTTCGATCAACCTACGCTCTTACTATTTTATCGCATCTAAAAGTACACGTGTCGAGCACGGGCTCCACCGCACACTTTGCTTCCCCTCCACCCGCATTAGATGGATCGGTGGGACCCATGTAGACATCAGCCAATGAAAATGCAGGTACTCATAGGTATAATTTGCTGATTGGAAGAATAGTTCAGCTACCTCCTCTCTCCCCGTCAGCAAAAGCGACCGCCGAGTCAGTCCTTCAGTCATGATCGAAAGAATCGACAGGAAGGAGCTGTTCATCTTCCTATATAAGATCTGCCTGCCGCGGAGCCATCGATCGATCGTATCGGAATGGCGTTGGAGTGGGTGGTGCTGGCCTACGTGGCGGGGGCGGAGGCGATCATGCTGCTCTTCCTCACCCTTCCGGGGCTCGATCGACTCCGGCGGGGTCTCGTCGCCGTTGTCCGGAGCGCCCTGAAGCCGCTCCTCTCGGTGGTGCCCTTCTGCCTCTTCCTCATCGCTGACATTTACTGGAAGTACGAGATGCGGCCGTTCTGCGAGCAGGAAGCCTGCACCCCCTCTGAACACCTTCGCCACCAGAAGTCCATCATCAAGAGCCAACGTAACGCTCTCCTTATCGCTTCCGCTCTCCTCCTCTACTGGCTCCTCTTCTCCGTCTCCGGCCTCGTCCTCCGCATCGAAAAGCTCAAACGCTCCGAATGAACCCAAATCGTTATATCCGAATGGCGAACAGTATATTAATCTTTCGCCTTATGATCCATGCATCTTACCTTCTGAAGTTCTTATGAAGGGTACTATGAAATATATGAAAATTATTGGATGGTTAATATTTCCGATTTGAGTTGTCATAATTTCAATTTGGTTCTTTTAATTCATCTCATCTGACTGAAATATTGCTTCTTTTTTTTCTGCGTTTAATTTCGATGAATTAGACTTTTCATTTCTGCAAGTTGTAGATCAACACCTTCATATAGATTCGTTTAAGAATTAGTAGGAAGTAGAGCACTAGCATCTCTCTCCTACATGAATTCAGAGGATGGGATAGATAGCATCAGAGCTTACTTTTCTTTCTTAAATTTTCTTGAACAGCTGACGCAATTCAATCTCTACACAACAATGTTAATTCTTTTTCTTACTAAAACTCACTTTAAACCTCCAATCCTTAATCAAATCAGATTCAACAGTACTTTAAGTGCAACTCTATAACATTAATATCTTAAACTTCATGTTTATTTTGTAAATAAATTATATTTTTTAAAGACAATGATTTGGAGGATACCAATCATGTTGAGAATTTGCAAGGACTCAAGTCAAGTTTGACTGATTCAACAATGTTATAATGTTTTATTTTGTTTTCACCTTCATTTTTTTTTTTTTGTTATTTGCAATATGTCTCTCTCCTCTATTTTTATTTGATTCTTAATTCTTAATATATGAAAATTTGGTCTAAAAAATAATAGATCATCTAAATGGGTCGACAGATCAAATGTCAAGATGTTTCGATCTAAGCTAGTTGAATGTTGAATGGAATTAGGTTCACCCGATTGATTGGGGCGAAGATTACTTTGCTTTTCTCTAACTCGTCTTTCTCTAATAACGATAATATGTATTGGTAGGTATTTTTTTTTATTAGGATGAAGTTCACCCAATGTTTCGATCTAACTCATCTTATATATATATATATATATATATATATATATATATATATATATATATATATATATATATATATATATCAAGTTAGACCATCGAAGAGTAGTCACATATCTCTTGTCAAAGAATGTGACATTTTGTTGGCTTGAAGGACACTTCACGATCTCTTCATCAGATTGAGCATATTCATCGTATGAAAGAGATATTTTCTTTTATCCACATTTTTATCGAATTTAACGTGTTTTTTATTTTCATGTACAAATGATTTATCATAGTAATCACATCATTTTTTTAATCATATGATGCATGTGATGTCAAGGAAAAAAAAAAACTTTTAACATTTTGAAAGTTTTAATTGGAGACTTATGCGCGGAAGAATATTTTAATATTTGATTATCTCTAATTTTTATTAAACTTATATGACTCGTAACACTTTTACCTGATTACTTTTAAAAGTTGATAAAGACTAAGATTGATTTATAAAGATTCGATAGATATATTATTATTAATTTTAGTTTAAATATTTTAAGTTTATTATTCTAATTTAATAAAATTAATAGACCATTTATCTTCTCATATTGATTTTTGATAATTGATATTTGACCTAGTATTAAGTTAATGATGAAAAGCTCAAAAAAGATAGGATCATTGAGCTAAGCCGCATGTATATCATGTTGCTAAATATTTCAACAAAGTTAAAAGATCAACTATCTAATCATATTTTCTTTTTAGATTTTTCATTCAAAGAAAGTATGTACCTTTAACTTTTTTTTTCGTCGACAAAATAATTTCATTAACAGTAATTAAAAATATTCGAACCTAAATTAATAATATTATTCACATCGAATGATTATTGGCTAATATAAAGTTGGGGTATGCCATTTTATATCCAATAATCTCTTTCATCGAATCTCGGTAATAAAGAGATACTAAAATCAATCTAGAAAATTTTTGTCATACATCGAACTTATTCTTTATAAGGTGAGTTTTTATTATAGATTTGCTGATGTTTTCTACCGATCATCGTTTGGAAAATACTCACTCACCACTCACAGCTTTGGCATAGTGTTAGAGATATAATGCAAAAGATGATAGACCTTAATAATTCTATATATATATATATATATATATATATATATATA